TCAGCTTTGTACTTTCAACAGTTTTAGCACAATGTGGTGTGTTGGCCCAGGTGTGCCAACAGAGTACAAGCAAACTGGTGCAACTCTATTCTTGGGTCATTGTAGACTGGCAAGAACACCTAAACATGTATTCTAGCAGTTGCTGTACTACTGTTCTGGCAAAGTTCTTTGTTGTAGTTTGAGTCCTTAAAAGTACTCACAATGTCTTCTGTAGGCAGAAAGTCACTAAATGTTATTGAACAGTAAAGGCTGATTCCAAAGGGAAAAAAAATCTAAAGGATGTTTTGTCATTGACATAAATAAACATCAGGTTATTGTCTGCTCTTTAAAGTATTTTAAGTCCTCTTATTTAAGCGTCAAAGGCAATGGGGATTTTCTTTTCCCTCTCAAGAAATGGACCCCTCTCAAATGATCCTATTGAAATATTGCTTGCTCTCCTTTTGCTGGCTTTTGTTTGCGTTGGTAATACTTTCTAGCCCTCACTGTTAGCTTCTCACTCTCATAAACAGTTCACTATAGCCAGGCACTGCTCCTAAACAAAGTTTGTAATATGAACCAAACTTAAATCTGACCATAAACTTAAAATGCATAATGAAGTGACATCTCAAGTGCGTTGGTGGTGTTAATTAAATTAATAGAAATTCCCTGTTGTATTTGAAGGTGCTTATATCTCAGCAGTGATTTTGCTGTGAAGGAATACAAAACTTTTTGCAGCTATTGGAATTCTGCTCCTTTATGACTCCCAGTCACTAGTATTCATATACAATTTAAAGTTCTGGAGTATGAATTTTGTCCTAAAATGAGGTAGCTTTTTTGGTTTGGTTGATTTTTTTGTTTGTTTTATGATTACATTTTTTTTTTGCTGGTACTGTTTTATGCTGGGAACAGTTTTGTTTGTTGCTGTAATATATAAATCTTGGCAAGATCTTCATCCTGGGTTCTGATATTGTCTCACCATTTGTTTAAATTATTATAAGGCATGCTAATGTGTGGATGTGATGCAAGAATTTTAAGTAAAAAAAAAAACAAAGCAACCCACAGAACTGTCCTGAGATAATGAGTTAGAAGAACATATCAGATGTTACATGGAAATTTTTGTTTCTATTTCTTATGTGATGAAAGATCGTATATCTTCTAGGCCACCTAGTCAAATCTGAGACAAATAAATAGTTTTATGAGCAGCAAAAAAGTCAGTGCTTGATTTCCTGTGAACTTTACTAGAATTACGTAAGTATTCTTTAACTCTGCATATAGCTATAAAGTAACCTTCCTGTTACAAAAGGTATAGGAATCAGTTTTATAGGAGTATTATGGCTGTAGTCAGCCTGACAACATTTTTTTAAAAAATATATTTAAATTTTAAAATTATTATTTTTCAGAAAGCCAAACTTCAGGCTGTGGTCCTATGTTGCCTCTTCTTGGCAGCAGTCACCTCAGGCCCTCGGTTCTGGCCACTTACTGCCACCTCTTGGCTACTGCACAGTGGTTTATGTGGTGCTGCAGCCGATCAGGGAACTGATCAGACTGAAGAAGTAACCTAGCATAAAAAGCTGTTTTTCAGCCAGAAGTTTCCTCATCTGCATCATCATGTAGGTGCCCAAAAAAGTTACACCACCAAAACAGAGGAGATGCAGATACAGCTGACCAAGAGCTGGGATTGTACCTGTCCCAGTGATTGCTCAGCACCAGCGTGACCCAAGTGGGTGAACTCCCGAGATCTAACACCAGCAGGGAGGTGGTGGGAAGGCAGACGGCGAACCGAACCCTCTCACCAGCACTGGGTCATACGTGTCAGTGCATCTTCCTGCAATTAGTAACAGGAGTTACTTTCCCTACTGGTCTCGAGTGCAGTTCAGTGAGGAATCTGAGCCCATCTCAAGGGTTTTTGTTGCTGGGGAAAGGGCTGGTCCTGCTCATCCTTCACCTTTCCCTTACTTATAGCCGTGAAATCTTGCCTCCTCCTTATGATGCTGCTGGCAATCTCCTTGCCATGTAATTGAGTTGTTCAGGATAAACTCAGAAAAGCAAGGTTACTTTTATTTCCCTCAATTTATGAAAAGGAATGGAAAGGGTTCAAATTATCTTTTACTGGCAGTAATTGGTTGAATCAGCTGAGTTGCCTCATGGCATACTGTTGAGCTACAGCTTCTTACATGTTTTAAGCCAGTTTGAACATGTAGGTTTTAAGCCAGTTTGAACCTGTGTGGGAATGGTTCAAAACTGTACCAGGGGAGGTTTAGTCGGGTCATCAGGAAGCATTTCTTTACTGAGAGGGTGGTGAAACACTGGAACAGGCTTCCCAGAGAAATGGTCAATGCCCCAAGCCCATCAGTGTTCAAGAGGCATTTGGACAATGCCCTTAATAATATGCTTTAACTTATGGTCAATCCCGAAGTGATCAGGCAGTTGGACTAGATTCTTATAGGTCCAACTGTTGTCGTCCTGTTGTCGTCCCATTCTCGTCCCCCATTTGTCCTGTTCTCGTCCCCCATTTGTCCTGTGTGCCACTACTCCAGCTATTTCCCCTTTTCTGTTTTCTCATTTTGAGTGCAAGTGTATGTGGTGCCGTATGGTGAATTGCAGGAAGAGGAAGGATGGAAGCAGGATAAATTGAGCAGGAGAAGGCTGGAAGCTGTAGTTACTGTGCAGTCTTGTGGCTGTTTTGTGCATAGGTGTGTGCATAACTGTGTTTTGAGGTTGGCTTCAGAGTTGCTGTAATACAGCTGTCATTAGGAGGTATGTTTTGGCTCTTTCCGATACTTCTTTTTGTGCTGGTGCTAGCCTTCTAACTGAAAGTTATTTTTTGTAAATTTTGAGTCAGATCGGTTCGTTAATCTGACTTGCTGTCCAGCTTTGTACACAGCAGGTATGGATATTGAGCAGACACAGGACAAGTACGTGGGGGAGCAGAAGCGACCCTTTTGACTAGAGCCCAAACTAAATGGGTTAAAATAACCAGGTAATTACGGCCAAGTGTTCCCTTCATCTGCTACCTGGTGTTATGAAAACTGAGAAACTGAAATCTTGCTAAGACTTCAACAAGAGATGTCTGAGTGAGGAAATACCACCTAAAAAATAATGCTCTGTTGCTGTTTGTAGAGGAAGATCCATTGCAGCCTGCTCAGCAGGTGGAGTGTTTCCAGAGGCAAAGATCACTTAAATGTATGGCATAACACAGCTCTAGAAAAGTTCATGTCGCACTGTGTTGTGTGCCTTAAATGTAGTGCTTATTGACTTGCAGTATCTCAGACCTTCCTACCGTTTAAATGGTTTGTGTGAGTCACCCTTTTCTCCCTAGTAGCAAATTATAAGACTAGAGGAGATGGCTGCAAGTTGTGCCAGGAGACTTTAGGCTGGATATGAGGAAGAAGTTCTTCACTGAAAGGGTTATTGGGCTTTGGAACAGTGTCCCGGTTTGAGCTAGTTAGGGTTTGAGTGGGTTAGGGCTGTGCCGGGCACAGGCTGCCCAGGGCAGTGGTAAAATTGCTGTCCCTGGAGGTGTTTAAACAATGTGTTGATCTGGTGCTTAGGGACATGGTTTAGTGGTGACCTGGCAGTGCCAGGGTAATGGTTGGACTCGATCTTAAAGGTCTCTTCCAACCAAAGAGATTCTGTGATTCTAATGGAAGATTGCCGTGGCTTTAACAGCCACTTAATAGATTTAATACTACTGTAGAGTGTTCACTGGTTTATGCCAAGCCAGGATCTTTCTCAGTTAGATATTTGTATAGTATTAATGCTGGAGTACTAGAAAATGAAGAAGCTGAATGACAGCTGGGAGAGAAAGAGAACAGCTGCTTGCATGGAAGATAAGGGTATTTGCAAATAGAGTATTTAACCTGTTGTGATGGAGAGTGATTGCCGGCTTTTTCATTTAGGGACTTCAACAGTTGTGTCAAAAAGGAACTGAAGAGGGTGTTTGATTCATGAGAAGTGAATCCAGTGACACTCAGGTCATGATTAATTCATCGTATGTAATTCATGCCACAGGATGTGTCTTGGTAGGGAGACCTTCGAATCATAGAATCATGACGGTTGGAAAGGACCTTAAAATCATCAAGTCCAACCTACAGCCCTACACCACCCTAACACTAAACCATCTCCTGAAGTGCCACATCCAGCTGTTTTTTAAACATGTCCAGGGATGGTGACTCTTCCACTTCCCTCAGCAACTCATTCCAGTGTTTCACCACCCTTTTGGTGAAGAAGGTTTTCCTAATATCCAATCTAAACTTCCCCTGGCGCAACTTGAACCCATTCCCTCTTGTCCTATCACTATTCACTAGGGAGAAGGTCTCACTCCAGCTGCCTTTCAGGTAGCCGTAGAGAGCGATAAGGTCTCCCCTCAGCCTCCTCTTCTCCAGGCTGAACAACCCCAGCTCCCTCAGCCTCTCTTCATAAGACTTACCCTCTACTCCCCTACTCATTCTGGTCGTCCTTCTCTGTACCTTCTCCAGCACCTCGATGTCCTTCCTGTACTGTGGAGCCCAGAACTGCACACAGGACTCGCGTTGTGCCTGGAATTTAGTACAATGCTAGGTTAAGTCCTGAAAAATATACTCTCAGTTTGTTAGTGAACACAAATTTCTGGTTTGTTTTTTTTCTTTTGAGTTAAAACAATGGTTGCTTGTGTCATTGTCTTTTTAAACTAGAAATTGGGTACTGAGACTAATGGGAGGTAGAGAAAGTGCAATATGTTTGTCTCCTAATGCCCTTTTTATCAGCTGTCAGACATCAAAAACTTTTTCTATGGGCAAAAAGCTTCTATTGGTTTTAATTTTAGTGTGATCTAATACAAGACAAAACCCTCTCATTTGTAAGCATGGGACCAAAACCCACTTCAAATAGATATTGTTATGCATGGAGTTTGCCCCCTTATTTAAATGTACTCAGTAGACTGGTTTCTGGGTGAGAAATGAAGGGCTGCAAAGAGTCTGTCGGGCATCTGTACAAGCAGCTGATACAGTATATAGCCAGTTTATTTTGTTTTTCAGGGCAGTATGACTGCAATGACTGTATTTTTTCCTTTGGATACTGCTAGGCTTAGACTTCAGGGTAAGTGTCAAACGCTAGTTTTTTTGTATGGTGATGCTTCTGTTCCCTTTGACTTGGGCACTTGTAAGGGTGGTTTTAAGGGGACCTGTCTTGCACGAATGGGAATCTTACCTCTGTAACACTAACACCATTCAATCACACCATGGTTCCAGCTGAAGGTAATGCTCCCTCTTGGAAGTATTTGGGCAGTGTTTTAATTAGCTGAAAAGGCTGTGTCATCTATGGCCAGACATGGCTTTGAAGTTGTTATCTAATACAAAAAAAAGAAAAATAAAGATGTGTGATTACATAGGTTTACATTTGTGTGCTGTTGCGTTTGGCTGCTGCCAACACTTGGGGCTGTGTCATGGAAAACTAGCCTAGAATTATTCCTGAGAATGGTTTAAAGGGGAAAGTCAAGGTTAGAACTGGAAGTGGGATCATCCAGTATGTACAAAAATGCATCTGATTATAAATGTTGGTTAATGCTCTTACCTTCAAAACAGAAGTCAGAGTCAGCAAGAGTTTTTAGCACTGTCACTAAAGTGCTATTAAGAACTAGAGGGAGATGAGTGGGGTTGTCAGAAATATGTGCTAGAAATGAGCACTGTATCGCTCTTGAGCAGCTTTTAATGCAGAAAGAGATAGTGCTTTACTAAGGCTTTGCTCTTTGCAGATGAGATGTCAGAGATTGCTCTGCTAGTGGTGCTAGTCTGGAGTCCAGGGAACAATTCTGAGAGCAGTTAGACCCAATTCTAGTCTGTTAACTAAGGGTAATCTCCCTTCGGTTCATGTCACAACTCTCAGGTTAGTAATTGGTTACTATGGGTACTCTAGTGCATAATAAAACCTGCTAGTCTAGAGAAGAATAAAAAAAAGAAAGTGACTTTACCTAGCAAATGAAAATAAGGAGATGCTTTCTGGAATTGCTGCAGAAATGAGGAACATCTATACTTTATAAAGAAGAAGAAACGTGTTCTGGGGTATGTTGAGAATAGGAAGGATAAGGGCTTGAAAATGAGTGCTAAAAATCAGAAAAATCTAAAAGTTTGATTCTTCTGTTTTCCAGTTGATGAGAAGCGGAAGTCTAAGACAACACCAGCAGTCCTACTGGAAATAATCAAAGAAGAAGGCTTGTGAGTAGATATTTTCTGCTTGTCTTCATGTAGACAAGCTCTAAAACCAATTTCGCCTTTAATGTGGACTAGTTAGCCTGTATCTGTGTGAACCGATTTTTACTCTGAATTAAAATGTCTCCATTTAAATGTGATATGACTTGCATAATCATCTTTAGCTAATTTGGATTAACTTTCTTGAGCACCTTATGCAATGGATCTGTTCCATGATGTAACTGTGCCTCCTCAGAAACACAGGTTTGTACGCAATTATCTTCATGTACCTGATAAACCAGCTTTGTCTGGCTGGATTCTTGGGTGTGTCTGTTTCTCATAACAAAGATGAAACTCTTAGGTAGCCAAACCACTTTAAACAAGAGAATTGAGACATGTGTCCCAATTAGAAGGTTTTTTCCTCCACCTGAGCCTGTGGAAGTAAACAACTGACTCCTCATGCTCGTGAGATACAAGATCTATTTAAAAGCAGTTAACTTGCCAGGTATTTGCCACGCAGTCTGAGCTGAGCTGGCTGGGAAAAAGTTTTATGCATGTCCTTGTTACAAGTATTTTCCTAAGTGAATCCCTGGAACTCTTAAGTAGACCAGAGCTTCCAGGACATTAAAGTTGACAAAAGTTTAGCGTGATCAATGAAGTTTTGCCACCTTGGGCAGTTGACACTTGTATGCATGAGTACTTCTCAGTTAGTTGGTGATCTCTTCTGCTTACATTCCACATGAGAACGGCAAAGAAACTTCAATTAAAAAAAAACAAGTAAAAAATTAAAATTACTGGAGAGACTGCAAAATGGTCATCCTACTTTTCCTGTGAGCCAAAAAAATCAGTAATTTTGGCAAGAAGGGAAATACTGTTTCTTCCAAAGGTATAGGGAAAGCCTAGCTAAGCAATGATACTAGTTTAGAGATGTGTCTGGAGTAACAACCCCCCCCCCCAACAACAGCAAATCTGAAATGTGATGTGAGATCATTAGCATCTTTCTCAGGTTAGTTTGCAGAGTCTTGTCTCATACTACACTTCTGTGAGTTTGCTTTCCTCATCTAGATAAAGCAAATAGATTTAGCTAATGGACTTTCTGTAGAAGTTTATCAAACAGTTTTGCTTTCTTCCCTGTGCTTTCATCCTTTTCTAGGATATGAAAGGTGTTCACTGGAGTACACAGTTCTTCTGAAGGTTGTAGTTTGGAACACAAATTTAGGTTTTATTTCTGTGCTGAAGTATTTGTGTGTGGATTACAGATGCTAGCGCTGACAGTTCATTAAAATAAAGTCATATTTTGTCTTTTCATGTTTTGTACCACAAGATGTTTCATTTGAAAATCATCATCAGTTGTTCTTCATAAATCAACCAAAAATAAACTAGCACTTTCAGTTAAAGGACATAGTCCTCAGGGGGCATATTTCTCCCTTTCTTTTCCAGCACAGAAGAGATGAGTGATGCAAAAACTGTTTCACTGTACAGTTAGTCCTGAGTAGAATTAAGTTAGTTTGTAATTGTAGCTCTGTGGTTAGCTAAGCCTGTAACTTCAGAAACAGTCTTAATGTGGTATATTTCCAGCTTCATAGGAGGGAGAAACACTTGATGCACCTGAGACGAAAAACTAGCATTTACATCATAAGAGTAGGGTCAGATGTTTTATTATCTCCTTCTTGGAGATCCTTATATTACTTGGATTTCCAGTATTTTAATGAATCCTAAAGAGACTCCGTGATTACTGCTGGTTGTTGAGGAGATTACTTATGCTCTTAATGTGATACCAGTTTTCTACCTGTGCATATCATTATCTTCTGGATGTGTTGTAGAACATGCTGGGCATATAGAGCAGCTGTTGATGTCCTTGTTTTACAGGCTCAGAAAGCCAGGTTGCATCATTTAGAAAACTCTCCTTAGTGTAGTATATTAATTTCAGTAACTAGTCTTCCATTATTAAATTTTAAGTGAGATTCTAGAATCTAGTAATTCTTCCTCACTCTGTATTTTTTTTAAAAAATTTTCTACTGTAGGAGTAGTTGTCTTTTTTTTTTTTTCCCCAGCTATGTTAAGCATTGCTTTGTTTCCTTGGAGATGTGAGCATCTCTTTACTGGGGTATTGTCTTTTTGTATTGGACTGACAAATCTGTTACTTAACAAGGATGAGAATTCTCCTCATGCTTTGGTATCCTTTAGTATATGCTTTGAACTGATGATACCAGTCTGTATGTTAACATACATAATTCAAACATGTATTTGTCTCCTGGTTGTTTGTAGTTCACTGCTGGCTGTTAGTAGAGAACAACTACGCTGGTAATACTAATTTTTGGAGTGAGTGAGCCCCAAGCTTCTCACTATAAAGATATTGTACCTCTGCAGCTCCTTTTTGATGGAATGATTCCTGATTACTGTAATTTATAAGTGCTTATTTTTTCTGGAGAGGGTGCAGTCAGGAGTTTAGTATTGTTCATTGCCATTAATGATAAAGATATATTTAGTTAGTTCTGTATATATTGTGCAATATTGTGTCTCTGGGACCCTCTACCAGTGTGTAAAACCAACCACATTGCATAAACACTTTGCTGGTCCTTACCATGTCTTTCTCCGCCCCATTAGGTTGGCACCATATCGGGGATGGTTCCCTGTTATCTCCAGCCTTTGTTGCTCCAATTTCGTTTATTTTTATACATTTAATAGTCTTAAAGCTCTCTGGGTCAAAGGTCAGCATTCAACCACTGGAAAAGACTTGGTTCTTGGCGTTGTTGCAGGTAACGCACTAAAAATCTCAATTTCATAAAAAATGCACTTGTTTTAGTATATTCCACCTCATGTTTTTCTTTATGAAGTCCAGTGGATGTCACACTGAGTGCTTACACCTCCTGCTGTATGCAGACCTGCTTCACTGTACAGCCTCTGATTGCTCTTCTGTGTCCTCCCCACCTCCTAAGTAGGTACCTAAACTACCCGTTATGAATTCTGGCACAAAGCACCGTGCTGTTGGGATCTAGTATCTTACTGATTTGGTGTGTTGTTTACCGTGGTATCTAAGCATTGTCATTGAAGGCAAGTGACAGGGAGAGGTGGTCGGGTTTCTTCAGAGGTAAACATATATGCCAGTTCTGAAATATTTTCGAATATTCTGCAGGAACAGTTGCTCATGCAACCCCGCTGAAACAAGCTGATTTAAAAATACCAACAAACAAACAAAAAAAGACATGTGAATTGTTTTTTTGAGGATGGGTAGGGGATGACTTTGGTTGTTTTTTATTAGTTTCTTGTACTTTCAGTGTACGTACAATGAATGGCTGAATAGTTGGGGGAAAGTAAGGAAGGAAGTTCCTAAATTGGTTGTATCACTGGGAGAAAATTCCATATAATTATATTCTGGAACAAAGGCTACAGGAATCAGGGTAACAGCTTGTCAGTTAAATGACTAGCTGTTCTTCTGTGTCAGTAGTTTATATCCTTGTGGAATGATATCTGGTGTGAATTGAAAAATTCTGCTTGAGGTGTGTAGTAATTGTCCTTACCCATCTCTCATTCCTACTACTGGTAGCAAATATAGATTGGCAAAATACATTAAAAAACTTTCCTTTTCAGTCTAGGGAAAAAAAATTTAAGACTTTTCCTTTAACTGAGTCTGGGTGAAAAATTACAAGCAGACTGTGAGCTAACCTGGTGCTCCTTAATATAATCACATTGATTTTGATGAAGAGAGATTAATGTGGCTTGCCTTTTCTACTGCTTGATTTTGCTCAAAACATCTTCTGAGAGCTGACTGTAGTCCTTATGAAGGATGCAGGAATACAATTGTTTATATTCTACTTTTCTCATCTCTCTTAAAGAAAAAGAACTAACAGGCACAACGTAGGTAATAAAATTTTACCTCTTTCAGATTTACTGTTCTTGATAGTGATGTAGTGTGTCCATGTCAATATAATGGAATAATTTAGTCCTAAAGCAACCAATGTAGAAACAGTTGCTAATTTCTGTGATACAGAAATATTAATAAGAAAGATCAGAAGCTTTATGTAGTTACTTCAAAGTAACTGCCTTGGTCATTACTGAACAGGAGAGACCTGTACCAGATGATTGCAGAAATAGTGTCACTTAATCCTAGAGTTTAGACCTGTGTTTTGTAATGCCTCTGTTGCAGCCTTATACATATATATGCTTGTCTCTTTCTCTTCTCCCATCCTAATTTCTGGCATTTGACTTTGAAGCTTTGCTCTTTGAGTTTGTTATTTCGTGTGATCTCTTGCCAGTTCTAAGCCTTACTTAAAATGTTTGCAGAATCCCATGTTTTCCACTGTAAATGTACTATATTCTCATTCTTTTGGCAGTGTGGAGCTCTGTGGTAATCAAGCTGCATACATTTATCTGTTTTGATCTCTCCTTTTAGAACAATTCTTCTAACCTTATCACCCTGTTTTTCTTTCTGAAAGTAGGCAGGCAGCAAGTCATCATGGAGTAAAGTAGGGCATGAAAAAGTAGAGTATCTTGTACTCCAGTATGGTGTAGTATACAGCAAAGTAACAAGTTTATTTAGTATTCCTTCAACATGTTCCTGTTTGGTGTGTTTTGCTGTGGGGGTGGTGTTTTTATTGTTTTGTTTTGTTTTTGTTTTGGGGAGGAGCAGAAATATCTTCCAGTGCACGTGTTCTGCTGACAACTAATTCATGATGAGGCTGTGGGGGAACACTTGAAGTAGCTCTTTACAAACCACCAGTTTACTTCCACCGTGTGCTGTGTTAATTTTTTTCCCCTCTTCCTACCAGTGATTTCAGTAGCTTGTCAGTCGGGGTAAAAGGGGATACGAAAACATTTGAAATCATCTGGTTCTTGCTGATCTTCTTTGTGTTGTGTTTTGCATTAGGTGTAGTGAATGTACTCCTGACCACTCCTCTTTGGGTAGTGAACACACGCCTGAAGCTGCAGGGAGCAAAATTTAGAAATGAAGACATTGTACCAACCAATTACAAAGGCATAATAGGTAAGCACTACTGTTACCTTCAGCTGGAGAGAAGTTCATTAAATGAAGTAGATCAAGAACTGTGAAGTTAGAAGGCTTCTGTTCATGTTACAGATTTCACCCTGGCATCTGTATGCTTCCCTGTCTCTTTACAGTCATTGAGTTTTACAGGAAGCTGGACCTGGCCATTTCTGATGGTGATTAAGAGTTTGTAGTATGCACACCTGTAACTAAAATACTGTTTGCAAAGGCAGGTATGTTATTATACAAATACTGGAGGAGCGGTGAGCCTGGTGAGGTGGTAGCTGGGAAGCTGAGTATGGAGAGACAATCTTGCAAATCAAACTTCACTCACCTTAATCCCTTAGTCACCCACGTGTTCAGGCTATCCTCCTTTTAAAATAAATAAATATTGTTGTAATTTTGAAGATGGATTAGAAGACCTTAATGGTGATGCTGATCTTGTACTAAAAAGAATAGGGCTTCTATGCAGATTATAAGCTTTGCTCATGTTAGTGGTGATGTGATGAAGAACCTCCTTTGTCACTGTCATAGTTTAAACCCTGCCGGCAGCCAAACACTCCACAGCCACTTGCTCACCCTCCCTTGCCCCAGGGAATGAGAGAGAGTTGGATGAGTAAAGATAAGGAGAATCATGAGTTGAGGCAAAAACAATTTAATAATTGAAATAAAATAAAATCATTATAATAATAGAATATACAAATGAGTAGTGTGCAAGGCAGTTGCTCATCACCCACTGACTGAGGCCCAGCCCTTTCTCAGTTAGCGTTCTCGGAGGAGAAAATCTTGAAACTGTGATCCCAGAAGAGAGAGAGAGCTTCCTGGCTAACCCTCATCTATACACCGAGCATGCTGTTGTATGATTTGGAATATTCCACTGGCCAATTTGGGTCTGTTGCTCTGGCTGTGCTCCCTCCCAGCTTCTGGTGTACCTGCAAGCTAGCCAAGAGAGGGGAAGTTGAAAGGTCCTTGATAACTTAGCAACAGCAAAAAGCATCAGTATATTATTAACGTTCTTCTCATACCAAATTCCATACTGAATTCAAAGCACAGCACTATGGTAGCTACTAGGAAGAAATATTATTCTATCCCAACTGAAACCAGGACAGTCACTATTTCTCTGTTAAATTGTAGGCTAGAATGGAAGATATAAGAAGTTGTAGAAAAGACTGCAGTGGATTTTTATGCACTTGGAATATTAGGCTTTAAGGGTAACTTTTCTTATGTTCTACAGTCAGAATTTTGTATGCAAAATTTTAATGACTACCCCCCCCTCATTTTTCTTCTCAGATGCCTTTCATCAGATAATACGAGATGAAGGAGTCTTAGCTTTATGGAATGGTACTTTCCCCTCCCTGCTGCTGGTCTTCAATCCTGCCATACAATTCATGTTTTATGAAGGCTTTAAACGGAAGCTTTTGAAAAAGCAGCTGCAAGTGAGTATATTTTGAGGCTGGGTGATGGAGATGCTTTGTTATAAGACGGGTACTTGACCAAATTCAGAAACGTAGGTTTGGGTTTGGATCTTGGATAGTTTTTTGAAGTTAGTTTGTCTTCTAAAAAAGATCCATCATAGTGAAGTGAGATGTGAATATTTTATGTCCCTAGGAAAAATATTCCTGGGATGAATTAATCTTCCCATAAAAATAAAACTGCACTTCTTGTCCACATTTGTTTAGATGTGTTCACGAGTCTTGATTTAAAGTAGGCATTTCAATTGTAGCATATCTGTTCTGTAAGTATGTATGTACAGACTGTTTTGAAGTTACCTCTTCGCCTTTTCTCCAGTAAATCAAATATGTTGAGCCTTTGAAGTATCACACATTTGTTCTGGAGCCTGTCATTTTTGTTACTAGTTTTTTTTCCTGAAGCCCTCAATTTTTCAATACACTTTTTCCAAGGATGGACACTAGAATTGAACACAACATTGCAACCATACCTCCTCAATAAAATCACTTTTTCTGTCCCTGCTTTATAGTCCCCCTTTTCTTGATTCTTTTTCTCTGCGTTGGATATAGTACCTCACCTGAACTCATGTTCCTTTCATGTTCTAGCAGATCAAAAAGCAGTTGAGTTACACTTTAGAACAATATCATAACATGTTGTATGTTTAAGCTGCAGTGATTTGCTGTTAATTTGTCTTTAGGGTGAATTTGACTGTATTAAAATGCTAGGTTATATCAATATGTGACAAAGCCATCTTGATGGTGATGTAGTGAAATGCTGAAGATGTAGTGAAATGATTTTTATGTGAGATTTTGCATCATAAAAGGGGCTCTCTTCTTTTTTTTTAACACCATCTTGAGTCAATGCTGCAGCTGTAGCTCTATTTATGCTTGATTGGTCTACCCAGTTACAGTATGGACACTTTTTTGAGTGACAAGCTGAGCTTTGCTCTGCATTTTTGTTTGCCTCTTAGCTAATAGCTATATTTATTTGTTGTTTTGTGGGTTGTGTTTTTTTTTTTAAATTACTTGGTTCTGCCTTAAATCAGGGCATATTTTGTCCGTGATCAGTGGAGAGGGAAAATAATTTCTTTTTTTCCGCCCTATCAGTGGTCAGTTTTATTCTGGACAACATTTTTCTTCCTATTTGATCTTTTTCCAATTGTCATAAGTGTATCAAATTGACTTTAAGATGCGCATGTGTGTGCATATTTCTGGTTGCAATCAAGGTATTTTGCAAACGTGGAGCATGTTTTGATATGGGCGCCTCCTTATTCGCAGTGGTTAATTCACAGTTAGGCTGGTGCCCTGTAGTCAGCTTAACCTGTAACAATGTATTTGATGCACAGTGGAACATTGTGGGCACTGGAGGTGAGGATGAGCATCAGCAGGTGTTTTTAACTAATAAGGGATGAGGTTTTTAGCCTATGTCATCAAGACAAATTCTGCCTGAAAGAGTACTGATTATGTTGCAGGATTATAGTGTGATGTTCAGGGAGTCTTTTACCTTTTCACAAGTGCCATGTGACTTGTTAGTTTAAATGTTGTAAAAGCTGGAATGCTTGTTGAGTGATGGTGCCGTTAAATGCTCCTTCCTTACCTTTTGACTATTCTCGGTTCTTTAAATTGGTCTAGTTATATGGTTTTTTCTCCACTGTATTTTGGTAACCTAGTTATAGTGAGAAATGAAAAAGCTTGTGAGCAGGTAGAAGTTACAAATAAACTTTAGCTGTGAGAAAATTGGTTGAACTCTGTAATGAACTCTTTAACACAAAAAGACCGGAGACTTTGTGAAATCTTCTTGCCAAAGATACTTAACCTTGTAACAGGTACAGAATCCTCCAATACATACGGGTAACTGGCTGTTTTGGTACTATGTGGAATTAATATGTTCTTCATCTGTTGAACAGCTCACATCTCTGGATGCTTTTGTCATTGGTGCAATAGCCAAAGCAGTTGCCACCACCCTCACTTACCCTCTGCAGACAGTACAGTCAATTCTGCGGGTAAGTAAAGTCACACTTGAGGGTAACTGCCTCTCACTTGCTCTGTGTAATGCGAACCTAGTTCACATGCCTTGTTTTGCTCTGTGTTAATGGACCTGTCGTTTTGGGAGCTCCTTTTGTACAATGCAAGTCACTGGTAATGATGCCTCTCTTCTTTGGTCCTGTATGGACAGATTCCAATAGAACTTAGTGTTACTGGTGCACGTTTGTTTGAAGTAGCTGCTAGGATTGATAATGTGATGCAGTGGTGCAATGTCTCACAGAAGCTGATGCACCATACTGCTTTTAGGCACTACAGAAATGTAGATTTACTTCTGTGAATATAAATAGGAAATGTGTCAAGTGGGAAGTTTAAAATTAAATCCTCTAAACCCGGTTTGTTTCCAAATGACCTAGGGTAATCAAGAAAAAGTTCTCTTTGTAGGTTTTGGTTTATTCAGACGATGGCCTGACCTTGTCAGTAGCCAGAATGTGATTCATCAGGGGAAGCTGAGCTCCCTCGTAAATAATATCTTCAACCACTTGCCCAGCTTTGTATGCTGATTGTAGTGGCAATGAAAACATTCACATTTATTTTCACTTGCAATTTGCATGGATGCTGGATAATGCTGCTACCTTCAGTATATACCAATATTGCGGTGATATTGAAACAAGACAGAGCTGGGTTGAGGGCAAAGAGACCTGACCATACGTAAGCAAGCATATTGTACTTCAATTTCTGTGCTTTTTATTCTATTTTTGGAAGTTGTTTCTTGGTGATTTTTATAATTGTTTGATAAGTGTTTCTATGTGAAATATAAAGCTATTTTCCTAAGTAATGTATGCTAAAGTCATCATATGTGTTCTAAAACTTGAATAAATTTTGAGAATTAGTTGAATTATTGAATATGAGCCTTCCATGTGAAGGATATGGTTTTTCAGCTTTGTCTAATAGAGGATTTTCTCGTTACTTTTTTCATCTGGGAAAAGTGATTCATGCAAGTTTTGTAATTATTTTAGCTTTCCTTCTCACTAATTAGCATGGACTAAGGGTATTTTGGTTTTTTTTATAGCCTGTAAAAAGATAGTTTGGATGCTATATTTCAAACCATCGAAACTTTGAATATATTTACTGTGTGGTTGCTGCTACCGTGAAAAGACACCAGATAACATTTCTGTGTCGGCATAGCTTTCTACTTGATCACCCTAATGGTGCACAGAACAGCATCTGCTTTGTAGATGTGTCAGCCCCACTGTAGTTTTGTCAGCAGTCGTCTGACACTTTCATAACTTTTGATAATCAGTTGAGCCACTGCCTTCATTCGATGTCGTACCCTGTTTCAGCAGCCCGGACACACCTCAGGAGCAAAACTTGTAACACAGACTTCTAGTACTGACATGACACAGACAGGAAAACATTTAAGTAAATACAGTTTTGTTTGGATAAGTTGCAACATCAGTCTGTTTTTAATTAGCGATGTTTTTTCTGCGGGCATGAAGGAGAAGTGGAGGGAGCATTGGAGTGCTCTATTTTAGCCTCAGTGTTGCGCAGCAGCGCTGTTTTCAGGGGGCTCCATCAGTACAAACAGCTTCAACCCTCGTTCCTTCCCGTGGTTGCTATAGAAATGGTTCCAATCTTGGGACTGTTACTTGGTGTTTCATCTGTCTCCTTTTAGCTTTTTGAACGAAATTCTTCTGCGTGTCGGTGGCAGTGTCATCCTTTTTTAAAAAAATGGCAGCTCTGGTAAGCTGTGCTGCCATCGCGATATACGGACCAGCTGCTGCTCACTGCGGCTCAAGTCGGCTGCTTTGCTACTAGCTTGCGTGAGCTGTGATGAGTGACCTCTGTGCTGGGGCCCAGCTAACCAGTGGCATCCTCGCGGTGGTGAGATTTTTCTCCCAGTGGCCCGCTGTGGAAATAATGTGGCTTATATGCTACTTCTCGGTGCCAGTGCATCCTCTCCCCGTGATGATGGGGAATACGAGGACCTTGTCTCTAGTTCTGCAGTTGTTAGGGGTGACTTCTTTCCCTTTGCTCCCTGAGAGGAGCGATAGTGAGAAACCCTGAACGCTTCTGGTGAGAACAGCAGAAACATGCATCTGGGATACCTGTGCTGTCCAGTTCTAGCTTGTACTACTGTAGTATGTTTTCTAATCTAAAGCTTGCATTGCTTATGTTACACTGTGATGTTTAAAAAAATATATGAATAAAAGCTTAGCACTTTCAGGAATAACATTCTGCATGAAGTATACTTTTTATAGTTGTGTGGGGTTTTTAAAACGATTTTTAGCAGACACACAAGCACGTACTAGCTCGATATAATTCATAAGAACTTATACTTCATAATTAAGTTCCATCATCAAAGCAGAAGTACAGAATTCTTTCCAACCTTAAACCTTTAGAAACTTACCACTGACAGTTATTAGGGTTCTTCATAACAAAGTCTCTACGCCTTTGATTTCAGCTTTTTGGCAAAGCAGTCTTCTTGCTTCCATATAACGAACAGTTATCCTGTGTAACTGGGAGTGATGAGCAGCTTCCAGCCTTGCCATTTGGTACATCTGTCTCCTTTTTGGTCATTAAAAACACATGGCACTGGTGTTACTCACTATGCAGTGAAACTGTTCTTTAGCCTACGTGTTGGTAAACAGTAGATAAACTAAATTTGGAGAAATAGCAACACTCTTGATGTTCTTAGTGATCCTGGGTGAAAAATTTGGAAAACTCAAGCCTCTTTTCTCTAGTGTAGAGAATTCTAGTCCCTTCGGGAACTCTGCAATAATCAGTGAAGTACTGACGTCCTAGGGACAAAAGAACTTTTATACTCCCCTTTGTTTGCGGTACAAAAATAGTCTGATGACAGAGAAAGTAGAAGGAAGCACCTGATCCTGGTGTAGGTTATAAGCCTGGGAATAATCTGGGTAGTGACTGGCGTTGTAACTTGGAACACAGTTAGCAATTTTTTGAGGGGTGTATCTGAGTCTTTGACAATAATCCTTAGCATTGATTTATCAGATCAAGGATTGCGGGCACGTCTTTGCCTAATAAAGATATTTCCAGTAACATTTTGTTGCTGCTGTTTCCATCTGAGTTCTTAAGACATATAGCCAAGTGACTTATATCATCTTGGCACTTTCTTTCAATTTCTGAACTGCCCAAATCTGCTTGTGTATTCTCCTGTCAATGGTAATGTCATATGCCTAAGAAGGAGCAGTTGCCCGAGTAAGTTCTGGAAGAAACTCATCTGCTCAAGTTCACGTTTCTTAGCACAGAAGCATAACCCAGGCTTCAGAAGCTCTTTGGCTGTGTTCTTAGAAGTACTAGTGTGGCAACCCTTGCATATTAATAATTCATAGTTACAGCTTGCTGACAGTATTACTGACCTGTATCACGTGAGAGTACCAATAAATACTAGAAAAGGAGTTGCTGAAATCGCTGATTTAACTCTGAGACATAGAATTACAGCAGCAGCTGTCATGTCTACTGAAAACCAGTTTAGGGATAAGTAAATAAAGTGAGTAAAAGAGAAGTATTATTTAAGTCAGAGAGGTGGATCAGACAGTTTTAGATTCTTCCACAGCGGTTCACATGTAAATGTTTTTCTCCCAAGACCCTTGGTGGATGGATAAATTTCGGGTTCAACTCCACAATCTTAATGTAATAATGGTTTGGAAATGTACAAGGCTTTGAATCTTTGTTAACTGAAGGCTGAGCAAGCCAGATAGAACTCGCTTTGAATGTCATATCCCTGCTAAGAATCAGCAAATAATGCTTTTGAGATCTTGAAAACTTTTTTCCAGAGCAACCGAAAGAGGGCAAATATGGCCAATGTGTCACACAGTCTTAGAATCCCTCTTAAAACCAAAACAAGTTATTGCGGCGTGTATTGTTTTAATGCTTGCTGTGTAAAATTCAATAGTGTGAGCTTTGGTCTCTGTTCTTCACCGATGGTTAGTATAACCTGGAAGATGCTAAAAGAGTTTTAAGACATGCTCTCCAGATTTTACGTGTGTTCTCTTGGTTTTACGTTGGTTCTCTGCGTGGCACCATGGAGAAATAGTACAACAAATGCTCTTCCTTTTTTTTCAGTTTGGACGCCACAGGTTGAACCCAGAGAACCGAACACTAGGCAGTCTTAGAAATGTTCTTTACCTTCTTCAGCAGAGAGTGAGGTGAGCTTTCTGGTTTTTGGGGGTTATTTTCTTCCTAATGTGGTATAGAAGACTTGATTATTACTAATAGGTTGAAAATGTTGCTGAATATGACTTCTGTTTCTTTTCTCCTCCCTTAACCTTACCGTTTGAGTCAAGCTGGTTTTTATAACATATTGCAAAATATGTATACAAAACCAAGTTCTAAATCTGAACAGTAAGAGATATCAAGGATATCTATGTGTACGAATTCATTCATGTCTCACCTTGAAAAAAAGCAAGTTTCTTGTAAAAAACCATAACTTCCTGCAGATTTTTTTAATATATTATTAAACATACCTGACACTGGAGATTAAGAATGAACTTAAGATTCTTACAGCTGTCATTAACTTGTGATATTAATGCTTCTTTGTAGTGTACTGATTTACTTGCGGAAGGCTATTGACACTTGTTCTATTGTTTTGTTGTGGTGTGTTGTTTTTTTTTCCTTCTTAGGCGTTTTGGATTAATGGGACTCTACAAAGGCCTGGAAGCAAAGCTCCTGCAGACAGTCCTCACTGCTGCTCTTATGTTTCTAGTGTACGAGAAACTGACTGCTGCAACCTTCACAGTCATGGGATTAAAGCATTCACGCAGACATTGAAAAAGGAACCTATGCCAAAGATTATGGGGTCTAGAAAACACATTCGGTTTCAGAGACTGGGCTGGGTAACAAAGGGTCTTCACTTTGTTTATTTTGTCTTTCTTCTTGGCCTCCATTATTTGGGATACACTCTATAGGACCTGTTGCCATGAATTCAGGGACAGCCCGTTCCCTACTCTTCTGTGGACTCACTGTGTTAAGAAACTAAGCGGAGACCTTATTTAAGCACTTGATATAAAATTTTGACTACTATGTGATTTGGTTGACATTCTTGCCAAGAATGTCTATCTCTCACTGTGCTTTCTTGTTTTCCCTTAAATCATTGCCAACTATTCTTCTATCTTTACCTTCCATCAGCAGCTGGTGGGGCTAGTTTCACATTGTTTTTCTTGAGCTGTGTTTATGTCACTTTATACTTGTTTCATTAAAATAACTCATAAAGTACAAGATTTTGGACATAGTTTTCTTTTAACTTCAGGTATGTTTGTGGCACAGAATTATAGGATATTGCCCCGAATATCTGGTAGTGAGACTTCTGAGCTGCTAGAACATGCATTACCAGTGAGTAGGCAGGCTGCCTGCTTGTAGCCACCTATTTTGAATCTTGAAAATTTCAAATGCAGATACTAGCTAGATTGAATGAGCAGAATCTCTTGCTTTTTCAAGCCAAGTACCTCAAGCTGCTTCAAGAAAATGGACTTGGTACAGAGAAACACATGGAGTTGTGCAAACCTGTTCCTTCTGAGAATATGTGAATTCATGCCATGTTCACTAGGAGCACTACTCTGTGCTGTAAAAGGTGGTGTGGCAGCTCAAAAATGTGTTTTAATTATTTTTTCCCACTGATTTTTTCCAGATGCTTTCCTGACTGTAAAGTGTAAAGGTCATAATTGTTGTCCCACTTAATGTAAGTGTGTATGTTCTTTTTGCATAGTTTTGTTCAATAGTCCTAAGCCATAAAATCCAAATAAATCCTGCTGTGCCCACCACAGCCGTAGGATTGTTTTGAAGAACAGTTTTACATCTGAAGCACTGAGAAATTCCACGGTAGTTTAACAGCAAGAATGTCTGGGAGAAGAATTAAGTGCTACAGGAAATATGTTACTGAATTGCTAAATGGCACCCTTTGGGGGGTCTTGAGTCAATTCTAAGTATGAAATTGGCACGCAGTCGTGCCCGTAATGCTGTTTTTTTGAACAACAATAAAAACCTTTACACTGACTGCTTCTTTTAAGACTATTGGGAATATCTGTGTAGAATAAAAATGCTCTTAATTCAACGCTGGGTGCTTTTCAGTCCAAATGAGATTTACATATGACAAGTAAGAATGAAGAAGGATACTGCACTGTAATTATGCTTTGATAGATGACATGCAATTTCACAAAGGACTGTAGTACTTAACACTGCAAACGAAATAATTGCAATTCTGAGAACTTGAGTGAGAAATACTCTTCTGACTGAAATGAGTTACCTTGGGGAAAGATAATCTGTCTTTTTCGTGATTTTAATAAGATATTATGAAATGGATTTTTTTTTTTTTTTTGCTTCTTGATTCTACGCTATCAATTTAGATGTTAGATTGAATTAACTGAAAGACTGCTTAACCTCATGTGGCTGAGCCAAAGTAGAGGTTATCCAGGAATTGTTCCATTGCTCATTCAATCAGCAGACAAATGTTCATGCTGCAGGTGGTACCTCTGCCTAAATTTTCCCAGGTGTAGTTTGAACAGATGGTGACATTTCCATTAGAATTACAAAAATTTATTTCGGGCTTCAAAGGCATATATGAGTATCTTTGAGATTAAAAAAGCATAATTTATCCAAGCAAACTGGAAGACTATCTCTTTAATCTTGGTACTAAAATTGTAAGTCACCTATGGGAGACAAATACTATAGAGAAGTAAAACCAAAATACAATTGTTTTAGTCTATTCTAAAATATATTTCTGTAAATTATTATTTGCTGATGTCCCACTCACAAGCAAATGTCTACTTTCAGGAGGTGTTGTAAAGGCACAGCTCAGCTGATCTGGCTCTGTAGCTGGGCTATTTCACTGAAAAAGAAATAGTTGTAGGAGAACTACCAACACGTTTCCAGGACGAATAGTACAAAACATGCAAGTGTTCTTTTAGACAGAAGTGACTCGTGATCAACATGGTTTTGGCATTTAAAGCTGGAGACAGAATAGAGGTGGTGTGTCCACAAGAATCTCTACACACGAGTACTCGCAATGAAAACCTTGGCTCTAGGGCTGCAGGTGCCGTGAGCTGCATTTCCACTCTGTGGTCAGTACGTAACTGCATATTCCGGCCAAAAAATTGCATTGATTCACTTCTGGAGAACCCTACAGAAACACTTTAATCTTGGTGAGAAGCGGACCTCATTCCTCCTTTTTTTTTTGTTGTTTAAAAAAAAAAATACTAGTTTTGAGGGAAGAAAGAAGGGGGAGATGAATATGAAAGACAGAAGCAGAGGCTTGTCTCTCTTAGCCAAATTCTATCCTGGATAGTTCTGTCCTTGGCTGAATTAAGGAGATTTAAATTTAATCCTGTCCTATTCTTTCTCTTCCCCACTCCACACTTTCATTGAAGGTACAAAGCCCTTGTGGCACCTTAGAGATTGTGAAGCAAGTGGCTTCTCAGGTATCTGTGATGTTTGAGATGAATTGTGTAATGGAGATGAATTATTTTCCTGTTTGTATTCTAGACCATGCCTCTAGACCATTGCAGATTTTTCGCCTGTATAGTAGAGTAGTATTTAACATATTTTCACTTATTCTAATGTTACTCACTGAGCCTCAGAGTAGAGACGGGGAGCTGACAGGGTATAACATGTACTCTTTGTCTTAAATAACTCTGAGTTGCAGAATGCTGCTAAATAGCAGTATCAGTTGCCCAAGCTAGTTACATGTTGCTGGAAGCGTCACACCATCACACTGTTGCCTTTGCTGGCTGCACCAGAGAAAGGTATTACAGCCTGAAAGTTGGCACATGCCCTGTGTGGGAGGAAAAAGAAGCTTTACTTCCAGCTGTCCAAGAGGAATAGAGTGAGTTGCACTGCAAAGCTTCTCTTACTGATTAATCCTTCCATTACATGTCTTACTGCTCATCTGCTGAGGAAGGAAAAGGGGAGTGCTGCCCTGGCTCCTTTTGCAGTAAAAACAGGCAAATACAGTCCATTCAGAATAGAACAGGTGAACCTTTGAGATAGGGATGTTCCTGCACACAGGAGTCTGTTGAAAAATGCAGTTATTGCCATCGATGGAATTATTTTACCATCAGAGGTGAAAAACACTTCTCGACTGATGAGCATGGGGCTGGAGAGCCATGGCACAGTGGGAGCTCTTTAACCTGTGGTTGGGTTTTATGTCTTTGTCTTTTTGTTTTTTAAATTGATGTGATTTAAAGCAATGTGTTAGACAGGGAGGTGGGATAGCTAAACCATTTGTTTTGTTTCATTACCTCATCTAAAAGGCTGAATTCTGTGTTTGTGAAGGCTGCTGCTTCACACAGAGGGAGGAGAAGATGCTTTGGCGTAACAGGCGTCTCTGCCTCTGGCAGCAGAAAGCTCTCTCGCTTGTAAGGCGTGCTCTGGCAGTGTGGGCTGCAGAGGCCTCATCGAAGCAAGTTTCTGTGGTACGGAGAGGGGTCAGGCCCATCTCTTGCCCAAATAAAGCTGAGCACGACCACGTGGTCTGCAGGGGGCTGTTCACACAGACCCACTGTACACGCAGCATAAAACTTTACTAGTGTGTAACATCAGGGTATAATGTAATTAAAAATATTTGTACTTTACAGGTTTTGATAGTGCTAGATTAAATGCGTTAGCTTTAGGATTTGATAAACAACAGCCAAAGAGCTCATTTTGAAGTGGCGCTGTACCATGCAATGAGCTGCCCAAAATTATTTTAACTTCTTTATTCTTCCTTGAGTTTGTATTTGAAAGAAATGGACTCCAGAACTTTCTGGAAAATAATAACTAAAAAGAGACCTATCCTCCTTTCTATCTGGCTAACAGCTCTTTTCTGCTGTTCATAGCAATGTAGTGAATCTGTCAAAACAGTCGGGAGGATACCACAGACACTTTGAAGAAAGGGGCAGAAGCTTGCACAAAGATGGGTTTCTTTCTGCATCCTCCACAGCTGGGGTGGTACCAGAGCAGTTACTGGTCGCTGAAGGAGAGGGAAGAGCTGTCATTTGGTGGTGGTCCGGATCACCAAGACAAGAGTCTGCCCCCACAGCTAGCTGTGATCGAGATGGACGAGTGATAGTGTGAGGCAAAAACCAGCTGTGAGACGTTCACAGATGTGCATCTCCGGCATCTGGGACGTGGCTCATGGGGGTGCTGTCGCAGCAGTAATGAACGCAGCAGTTCACATCGTTCTCTGAGCCATAGGAGTGGCAAGAGTCTTCACTTTTACAATCACTGGCTAAAAATTGGATGTATGTTCTTTTGGAACTGGAATGGTCTGGACAGGTGTTTTTTTTAATTATTGCAGAATACACCAATACTCAGCGTCTTTCATTTGCAGGGTTGCTTGCTGTGATTTTTCAAAGCAGCTGACAAAAATAGTAGGTTTTGCTGTTATTTCTGCTTGGATTCTCTCCATCAAAATTGCATTAAGGAGTTTAGGAGGTCTCCCTGATACGTTAGGTTGTAATTGAGTCAGCAACCACTTAAAAGGCACACAGTTACTGGTAAAGTTGGAGACACACCTCAGAGGAGCGGATTTTAAGAACAGGGAACTCCTCCTCACGCTGCTGTATTTGTAGCTCTGTCTCTAAATGTTGAACACCATCTGGAGACACATGTGCTGGGCTCGGGGGCATCTCTGCAAAAGGGGTCTGGGACCAAACCCCTCTACCTCAGCCTGGTGGGATCAGCCCCAGTTTGTCCATAGAAAAAAACATTTTTCTGACTTTACCTGGTGCTTGACTCACGCTGAGAGAATTACAGTTGGTAGTGCTTGTTATTCAGCTGTCGTCACAGTGCGCGTTGGTCTTATTCTTAGTAACGGCTAATCTCTTCTGTACACTTACGTCCAGATACGGAGGCCGTGGGTTTGTTTGGGTGGGTTTTTTTCAATAGGATTTATTTGGAATTAAGAGACAAATGCCAACCAGGCTTTTGCAGGCTTCACTCCAACTTCCTCACTGAAAATTGTCATTTTACAAGGCTTGGTCTTTCTGGTCTTCATCTGTGATGGACAGAAGATTTCAGCATGTCTGGGTGGATTAGAGATGTGATAGGACCCTGCTAAATGTCCCCTTATCTCAGCTGAGTGATAGCACTTCTAGATGCACAGAGTTCCTGTTTTGAACAAAAAACATCTCCTCTGTCTGGCCGTTCTTAGGAAGTTTGTCCTTCTTTTAATGCCCATGAGGAGCTGTGGTGACTTGCTGATGTGAAGGTTTTATGAAGCGCTGCCTTTCGTGA